GAGAGAGAGAGGGAGGGAGGAAGGGAGCGCAGCTTGCCTTTGCAAGTGGCCCCCTGTTATGGATATGGAAGAGGAGTTGAAATCAAACACTGGCTTCATGAATTTAATAACTACTGGCATGCTTTGCTCTCGAGTTCTTATGTTTGATGTTGTACTAAGCCTTACTGAAGGCCTTTGAGAATCTGTTTGAGAAAGATAAAACCAGGTTATTTGAGTTCATTTTATAAAACTCACTCAATTTGGACCATAAGAAAATCAATATAGAAAATTATAACTTGAATACACAGGTGTAAAATTTAAGAGAAAGTCTTCGATAATTACTATGAAAATATTTCAATTAAATTTGTTCCAAATTCCAAAGGGGAATTTAGTCATTTGATAAAAATTTCTAGAGGAAAGAATACTTCCTGCAAAGCCAACTTCCAGACTGCATTCAAGGAGAATACCCTTAAAGTATTTCATTGGGGATCAAATAGCCACTATAATCATATAGGATACTTGAGAACATTATAAACACTTCAAAATTATTGGGATATTTATGTAAATTGCCATAAAATAAGTACCGTATAAGAAGATGATAGGATCAATTGGAGAAACAGGAGTCCCCTGTCTACTAATTATAGAGCTTGACTCTAGATTTATTGTCACCACTGCAATAGTTGAAATGTTTTGCACCTGAAGAGAAATTTTACATACATTAGACATAACATGACTAAAAGTAAAATTAATTGAGAGATATGGACTCCCTTTTCTCGAGAAATAAAGGAAAAAGAAGAAAAAGGAAGGAAGATGGCATGCTATTTTAAATTGGACGCATGGAAGTGTTCATCATGAAATTGAGTTTCAAATTCTTGAAAGATATATGCAAGATTTAATCGTCACACTCTTAACCATGAAAGGAAAACATGGGATGACTTCTTTATTTAATATTAAAACTACCAGTAAGAGTTAAAAAACTAAAATGACTTAACCCATAAATAAACATTGGGCTAGGATTGGTCACTCTGAGAATTTAAACTCACAAATTCTTGAAAGCAACAAATCATGATTTCCACTGTTAAATATGAATTAATAAAATTTGCAATATTTTGAAGAGAGCTCACCAGATAGCCAAAGCGACGGTTTCCAAGGCTCCTTCGGCGAGTAGGTATAAGGAAACCATTACTAGTGTGAAGAACACTCAATATTTCCGAAGAAGAATTTAAAATGGGTTCCGAAAAATCCAAATAAATTCTCAAATCTTTGTTGTCATTTGTGGCATCAACTCTCCTTGTCTCATTCTCAAGTTCCAAGAACTTCTCAGGTATATGGGTTGTCAAGTTTACAGTCACTGGCCTCCTATCTGTTATTCCAAAAGAATGAAAATGAAAAACAATAGAGGGGTATCAAATAATGAAAGCAGTGGATTGCAAACATGATGCAGTACTTCACCAACAATGAGAAACCTGCAAGGAACATAAACACAAACAAAGAAAAGTAATGCAAACATGATGCATTACTCTACCAGCAGTAAAATAATTCAAATACCCACGTTCAAAAAGACAAGAAATAGCAGAAGTACCAGGGCAGACATACCAAAATGAACGAAAAAGCTTGAATTTGCAGCACGGGTGAATGTGTTTCCAGCAAGGTCTGTGCAGAAATCCTTGTCCATCACCAGTATTATTCTTCCATAATCAACATCAGATGATAGTTCTACAATGAGACTATATTTAAGGTTTGGCTCGAGGACTGTTAAAGAGGATGGAATTACATGGCCTGCACCATAAACAAGCACCTGCCACCAAAATTTACATTTGTATCAGAAATAGCAACCACTTGTGTATGCATTGTGTTTTTGAAAAGATTAGGAAGTACATATATGGGGACAATAGCTGGTTTCATAATATAATTTGTACTTTTACAAGAGGAGGTCTAATTGTATGTTTTCTTAAGAAAAGGGGCTCTTTTTGGATAACTTTAAGGTAAACATATAGGAGGCCATTTGGGTATCTTAGAGGATGATTGATGGTTTTTAATGGATTAAACAATCAAGTAAAGTTGAGCACTAGGGATGGAAGCCCATAGACGTTTTACTTAAATACATAGACCTGTTATAAAACTTCTATGAACTTGAATTAATTCTTAGTATTGTGGTACTATAAGGAATAAGAATACAAATGATATAGTTTCAATTTATCCATCATTTAATTAAATTCATTTGAATGAAAAAAATATCAAATTATAAATAGTCATCTCATAGTTAATAGTCTCCAATATCCAAAGGAATTTCAAATCAAGATAATTTCAGTACTTATGGATAAACAAGCGGGCAAGTGATGACACTGTCCCACCATCCAAGAGAATGTGGATCCTAAGGAGCAATACTTGTCGATTTTCACTTGTTCTTCATGCATGTTTATGAATATGTATTTCCATCACCATATTTATAGAACTTATTGTATCATGGGAAGTTGAGACCGTATCCTTGACTCATATTACTCATTCATCTGCACATAAACATTTCAAACTAAGGCCTCCCATATCAATCTAAATATGATTATCCTTAGTCCACTTCTGGCTCGATCCGTGGGTTACCCCCTCACCTCTTTCAGCTTTGTTTCCCTCTCTCTTCCATCTAGCCAGTACCCTTCAGCCTCCATCCAGCTCCTTTTTCCCTCTGAAAATGCTACAAGGAATTGGAACCCTGGTTTTTGACGTCCTCTCCATGACTCTGAGATCCCTGCTTTTCAAGAGCTCACTTTTCTTATCACCTCTTACCCCAACCTCTCAAGTGGGGAAGACCATCTCTTTGGTCTGCTTCCACATGTGGTACCTTCTCAGCTGACTCCCTCTTCCGCTCTCTCTCTAGGGCTTCACAGGGGAGTTTGTTTTGTCATCCTTCTATCCCTAGAGCCTAGAATACTCATTCCCCCTCCAGTTCTTTTCCTAGCTTGCTCTATGGGGAAGGGTCCTCATGATTGACCAGATCCAAGCGAGGGATATCCAAATCCCCAATCGCTGCATTATGTGCCTTGAGGATGAGGAAACCAATGATCACCTCTTCCTACACTGTCCGCTTGTGAAACTTTTATTTGGAGCCACAACCTATCTCTCTTCAACTAGACTTGGGTCACTCCTCAAAGTGCCACCTTGTCTCTCTATCAGCTTTTCTCCCCTGGCCATGCGTGGATGCCTGCCTCTGGAAACCCACTATAGGTGCCACCATTTGGAAGGAACGCAACAACAGAATCTTCTAGGGTGAGAGGGCACCGCTCCACAAAATCATCGACATCATCAAGGACTCTATCACCTTCTGGGCTACCAATCATCACCTTTTCCAAGTTATCCCTGCTTCTGCCTTTTACTCCCATTGGGGTCACATCCTCAATTACAGGCCGACAAGATTGCCCCACTTGTCATTGGCAACCACCCGAGAGAGGCAGTATTAAACTCAACTTCAATGGCTCATCCCTGGGCAACCCCGGCCCGGCAGGGATCAGATGAATCTTCAAAAACTCTGATGGTATCACCCACTTATCCTTTTCCCAATATATCGGAAGAGCCGACTCCACAGAGGCAGAAGCAAGTGCCCTACTCGAAGGTCCAAAATGCTATGACACTTCCTGAGGACAACCCCTCTCCATTGAAGGGGATTCCCAGAATGTCATTATTTGGGCTTTGGGCGCAGCACAACCCCCATGAAGAATTTGGCATATATTTGACGAGATATATGATATTTGCAGGGCTATGCAGGTCTCTTGGATGCATTCTTGAAGGGAAACCAACCAGGTCGCCAATGATCTAGCAGCGTCCGGTCTAATCTCGAGCTAAATGGAAAAATTCATGGTTCACGTTGGTCTTGATCTTGGGTTGGGTTCGGTTTTGTTAGGCCCCTACTGTGCTAGATGGCTTCATCTTGGGTTGAGTTTTGTTTTGGCCCCTATTGCGCTAGGCCGCTTTTTCTTCTTTTTTTGTCGTTTTCTTGCATTTGGTCACCTCTCTTGGTGACTTTTTGTCTCTTTGGTCCGGTTGCCCCTTTTTTATCCCTCTCTTCCATCAATACAATGTTAACAATAACCAAAAAATACTTTGTAAAGGACTCATGGTATCAGGTAATATGGTGATAAATTATAAACTTGATGGAGAGTTACTTCCTCAAATTCCACTTGATCCCGTTATCAAATTCATTTGCATGTTATTTGGGAAAAAAGACACTAGTATCATACGGGTGGAAAATGTGTGAAACCACATCAATAAGTTCAGTTTACCCATTGCTCTAAGCCATTTATATTGGTCAAATGCCCAATCCCTACTATATTCTTATATAGAAATCATCAATTCATCATCATCATCATCAGAGCCTCTTCCCAACTATTTGGGGTCGGCAACACGAATCCTAGACCGGTAGATTCAAGATTTATGGAAAGTTTTGGCAAAGTTTTACATTGTTTGTCTACCTAACACAACCCACCTCCTTTACACGGGGCTTGGGATGGGTTAAGGGCAAGCTCAAGGTCCTCACCCTTCTTAGCCCATATTGTTATATATAAATGTAGATGTAAATTGTTAGTCTTATGAAAAAAGTGATACCATCTCTGCAGTTTGATTGCACTTTGAAACCTTGGATACTCTGATGATTGCAATGAGTAGTTACTTATTACATACTAAGGCCACAGGCCATTTCGTGGCGTCCATCATGCCTAACTGATCTACTTAGTCAAGTAAGCATACATCTGCTTCTTATGGGGCATTTGAACATGCAAAGTATTCCACCTCCATGATAATATCGAAGGGGGGAAGATTTTTGTAATTTGCTTGACTGGAACACCAATCCATTTCCAAACAGAAATACAAGATGGATGTTCTACCATCCAAATCTAGGCAACAGATTTGCCCTGGTGAAAAACTTGCAATATCAAATCAATTATACCAAATGCACTTGATTTGAATTTTCCACAATATACCTCAATATTCTTTGAGGGACTTCTAATGATTCAAGTCAAGGTTTATTTGCAATCCTAAGTCCCACTACAAAACAAAGGTGGTCTTGGGCATAAGGAATCCATTTCTCTACGTTCAATGCTAGCATAAAAATATTTTTCATGTCAATAAATCTAATTTTCAGCCTTATGAATCATGTCCAAGAGGAATCATTCATAATAATTTACAAAAATTTCAAAGGGATTGCAACCAATTATCCCGAATCTTTCAATGTCTTTATCCAAATAATAATTTTTTTGGGATAATCGAAACCACCTTTAGGACTACCATATACAATGCTGACGTCCATAACAGTGTGTATGCCACCCAAGCCTATAATCTTATCTGTAGATAGATAGCAAGGACTTTGATCACCAATCATATGACATCAATTTGCATGTTTTGAAATTTTTCTCCATTTGGTGAAAACATATAAAATATCTGGTTTACTATACTGGTCTTAGTATAAACTCAGTAATGCATGGGATTTCTTTTATCTTTAACGGATCATCAACGGTCATCATTTAAGAAAGTAGTTCTATTTAACAATAAAATAAAATAAAAAGCAACCAACTACACCAATACACTAACAGATGCATATAATATGTAAATGCGAGTAAAAACTCATTTTCCAGAACTTGCCAAGTCAATTCACCCAAGGCAAGTTGCTGACTTTGATAATTGACAAACTCAGTTGTACCTGAGTTTCTTTTTTCTTATGTATATTTTTTTCAGTCGTTTTGTCGTGCGAATGTTACTATGACAGACTAGGTACAGTTCTCAACATCGAGCTATATTTTTTTTTATTTTACTAAGATTAAAAAAAATCTACATCAATTAGAATGTAAACAACATCCCCTACAGATGCATTTTTACGCTTAGCATAGAGTTTTGACACATACAAATGTTGAATCACCACAATGTGGGTTGAAGGATTTCATACCATCCATGTTGGGTCCAGAGATCTCAGTAAGTAGATCGTGAAACTTCTCTCACCTATCTTTACCATGATATATGTGATACAAATAGCATTTCACTCGTCAATGATACAAATTGCATTATGCTTTTATTAGCAGGGATTCATTTTCTATAATTTACTAGTATGTGTCTATATTCCTGCATCTTTGTATCTGACACTTCATAATTCACCAACCTAGCTGGCTGATGCTATTTAACTTTGTCCCCCTTTTTCTTATAAACAACATTTGGTTAAGCACAAAAGGGTTGTGTGAAGTAGCAAAAGGAATGCTACCAAAGGGACAACCCTGAAAAGGATGTTTTCTTGACCATCAATTAACGTCTTGGTTACAAAAACCTAACACGGGTAGAATTGCTGGGAAATTCAATGCTCCTTAAGAAATTCTTAACAGCAAACTGTCACCTCCCTCACATCACACTGTATCAATGTTTTGAAACTCTGTTTGGAGATCGGACTCAGCCCTCACTTGAGCTGAGTAACCCCGTTGAGTACTGTACAAGCCTCAAAATATGCTAAAAAATATGTTAAGAATAATTGATGGAAAATGTATAAATGATGAAAAATTCCATAAAAGATGAAAAAAGTATAAATGATGGATTATTGAAAAAATTGATTTATACCTTGAAATATTTAGAAAAATCAAAAAAGGAAAAAAAAAGTTGGAGCATGTAACTAGAAAAATTCCCAAATCATCATAAAAACCAACAACAAAATCATGAAAATAGTTTTCAAAATTATATACTGCTGATTTTATAATAAAATTTGTGACAAGAAAAGTTAACAAGGGGAAGTCGGGACTCGCCTCCGCCGTAGGTCGAGTCATTGAACACTGCAGTGTATAGAACACCTCCTCCCTCACAACACCACTGTCTCGAAGAAGCTCTCTCTCTCTCAAGTATCATCAACTTATCACTCTCTTATTATAGGAGGCAGCCCTGCTTAAACTTTTACGGATGAAAGCCAACAGAGGATATACACTCGGTAACAGACCATTCGTGACAAGCTTGTTGCTTGTGATGAATGGAAGATTAGATGTTTAGAAGCAGAGACACAACAATCATTTTGCAAAAATGGGATAATCGTTCAGCCAATTTCGTAAAGATTGTCAATATTGAAAGAAGAGTAACAACACATGAACAACGGAACGGGGTTAAATAAAACAAATAGATAAATCAGGGGTACTTACTCACATTACAAGAATTGGGGGACGAGCACTTAAAACCTCCATGGCTAGAGCACGCCTCGCTGAAAGCAATTTGGACTCTAACATGTGAACCGCTCGTAAATGCCATCTCCCCCGTAACAGATGCAGTAGGAGGAATGGTATCTGCATCAAAATAAACTCCTTAATCAAACTTAAACTCTGGAATCTTAGAGAGGGAGGGGGGAAGAGAGAGAGTGTTCACCAACAGTCCAATTAAAGGTCGTGCAGGAGGCTCCATTGATGCAGACCTCAAAGCTGTGATCTCCATCAACCAAACCTTCGTAGGAAGCTCTCCATGAATCGCAAACGCTGTAATTACCCTCATCAAGCTGATTAAACAAGCAACATAAAATGCCCAGTCAAGAAAAGGGAGAGAGAGTGGGAGAGTAGGCCTTGTTGCGGCCGTACTCCACAAACCAATACACGCCAATTTTTCAAATTTTAAGTTTCCAATGTGAAATTTGGCGGAAAAGAAAATTAGAGGAAAAAAACTGAATGAGAAAGTAGCATCTCTATTTTATGAAGGGAAAAGTTTATATACGGTTGCATTTTATTTGAATAGCTAGGGATGCAGCTTTATCAACCATCCAATATTTTGGATGGTTAGCATTTCATTTGAAACATAAGACATCAACACTGCCAACTGCAAGTATGGTTTCCTCAAACTCTGCAATATTGTACAATTCTCTCTCTCTCCTCTCTCTTTCAATTGTTTCATGCGGGTTGTACTTTATTTGTACAGTATGCTATCCAGAAGGATAAAGATGGTCCATCTAAAACCAATTGTAATTAATAATGGTAATTAATGGTTCAAATTTTTTTTTAATATAATTATTATTTTTAATTTTTTAAATTTATTTATTTATTCATATTCATAATCTCCATGTTAAAGATTATATATTCTCTAACGATTAGAAATTATATTAAAAATAAATATTTATTACCAAGCCCACCTTTCTACATGTGGGGGCGATATACATGTTAAAGATTATATATTCTCTAACAATTAGAAATTATATTAAAAAGAAATATTTATTGCCAAGCCCACCTTTCTACATGTGGGGGCTTGGCCGCATGCTAACTGCGTCTTTTTATGTATCATATAATTTTTTTGGGCCTGATGCGGATCCTATATATACTTTTTAGATCCAAATATCTGATCCGGTCTAGGTCTAGATCTAAATCTAAATTCCATGTATACCTTTCAGATCCGAATCTAGATCCTAGTGAATGGAGACCCAATCCGATCCATTCTCAGCCCTACTATGCTAAAACCTGATGGAGACGTATTTCAACGATCCCAAAACATGAAAAGATACTATATCACCTTATTGAATGGGAACTCAAAATCCCAATTCTATATTGGGAAAAAGTTTAGATGAATAAATTACTTATTTTTATAAAGAACTTGGTTTCTATGCGGCCAAGTCCGCATATGTAGAAATGCGGGTCTCTTAATAAATTTATTTTTGAGGTAGATTTTAAGATTTAATTTTTAAGAACATGTAATCTCTAATATGAAGATCATAATTATAATAAATAAATAAATTTTAAATTTTAAAAATAATAATTCTAGTGAGAAAACATTTAGATCGTTAGTTTCCATTGTTTTTATATGGAACATTTACTTGCATCCATCTTCAAAAAGATGCTTTACACTTTCTAGACCATAAAAATGCAGTCCAGCCCACATGAAACAATTTTCCTTCTACAAATAAGGTAGAAATAAGGTTATATCTTTATACAAACTACATTTCTACTAGTCTTGGGACTTGAACTCAGTCCGGTCCCTAATAGTTTGGTCGAGTAATGCACATGGCCAAAAGGCCCCAAATAACTAAAAATTAAAAATACTACAAATAAAAACATTAAAAGTCAAACAAAACTTAAAACTAAACAATGAATCTAAGTAACCCAAAAAAAAATAAAAATATAGATTTTAAAAAGGAAGAGTATACAAAGAGGTAATAATTACTCTTGTCCATAGGTTTTTAAATATGGTGGTTGTGAGTGTGTCATTAACTAAACTCAACTTCAAAAAAAATAAAAATAAATCTCAAACTTTGTGCCACACCCAAGCTATTCAATTTGACGTGTAATAGCTATTAACACTTGTGACATTCTTGTATCAAAGATAAACAGTCTCATCATATAAAATCTCTTTTTAAAAAATTGATTTACAATTGAGGGTATTTTAAAAAAAAATTAAATTTTTTTTTAACAAAAGTATTGCATTTGACAATAAAAACTCATAGGTCGATGTAAAACACATCTAAAGTGCATATATAGTTTTTATAGATCAATCCTACAAATTAACATATTTGCAATTTTTTTATTTTGTTTAATATATCCGAGTTGTACTCGGGTACTCGGCTCCGCCCGAGTAGCTCCACTGATACAGATCCAAAATTAATTTTCCTTATGCTTCCACAGGATCATACTGTTGTTGTTCCCACTATTAAAACCCTAGAAGTCAATCCGGTACTTTTAGGCCTGAATTAACCTCTATCTAATAGGTAAACAAAACAGAAAATTTCAACTATCACTTATTTGAAAAGAAAAAAAAAAGTAGAGAGACCTTCCAATAGTTTGTGTGTGAGACCTTAGTGCTGAAAATTTTAAATTCTAATCGCTTTTTTAAAGCAATTATATGATGATTCTTACATGGATCCCAAATTTTACACCATCGGAGAGAATTAAGTGCATTTACAGTCCCACTAGAGGGAACCAATTTTAAAAACAAAAATGCGCCTAGGCACTTCTCTCCCGATGTAGTAAATGTACAGTTTGCTCCTGTAGATTAGGAGTTAATTTTCAGAAAGTATCAGTGAGGTGGTGTAGTGGTGGGAATGGGAATGAAAACCTTGTGTGAGATACTACTACCAATCCGGATCAAATTCGGCCGAACTTTGTGAGAACGCTTTGAACGCTAGGCAAATTAAGTTAGGGGCAGCAAACTTTCACGTACCCAAAATGACTCCTGAGAATTACATATCCTTGTGGTGAAGTAAATCTTACACCTGTGTGATTCATGGTGCACCATTACATCCACATTCCACCGTCCTTGCCTTTTTTTATAGACGCAACGTTTAAAAAAAGGACTAATTGAATCGGATCGGAACCGGCCCGTTTAGATTGAGAACCAGAGGACCGGTTTGATTCCGCTAATACGTCGAGAGCTGACTGGTTCTCGTTTGAAACCAATAGGTTCCAACCGGTTTTCTGATACTGGTTCTTTCAAAGAACAATCCCACTTTGATTTTTGAATTTTTTAACTATTCTAAAATTTTTTAATTTTTTATTGGCTGGTTCACTTTCCAAATCGCCAATCTGGACCTCTGATCGGCCGATCTTGACCGAGAAAGATTATCTCGATGGGCAATTTGAGTCACTGATTCATGTTTTTAAACCTTCGATGGATGTACTAGAAGAATTAATGACAAACATTCACTTGGGAAATGACACTGGCGTGCCTTATGTTGTAGTTAATCATAAATCACATTTAGGGTTTGCAAGGGGTCGGGGCCTGGGCGGGTCTTAGCCTGGCCCTATTCTCTTGACTGCCAGCCCTAGTCCGTCCGGTGTTGGATAAAATTAAGAGAAAACAATACAAAAAAGATGAAAAAATATGGGCTCGAACGTGCCGGTCTTGGCCTAGCCCTTTATATTTTTGTAGCTCAAGCCCTAATTTTTTCGTCTGAACCTTAAACCCAGTCCATTGCCACCCGTAATTACGGGTCATTCGAAGAGAGAAGAAAATACATGCTAAACATGAAGCAATGTCTAGAGAAAAAAAAAAACTTATTGATGCAAATGATGTATTCTTTTTTCTCTTGGCAATACTTATGATTCCTAAGAATTGTTTTAGGATGAATATAAAAAGTTAAAAACTAATATAGCGTGTTCGTACAGCAATTGTACATATGAGATGTTAAGCATTATCTTGGCTGAAGAAGTATTCATCTCAACCGTCAGTTATCAAAGTCGAACGTTTAACAAAAGGGTGCGGTTTGTATAGAACTGAGGCTCTAAACAATAAAAAGTAAAACGCACTTTCAAATAGCACGGAGAAATGTGATTTCAATAGTAGAAATCTTTGTGACAGCCTTAAAATATATTTTTATATTTAATTATAAAATTTATCGCTTCAAAACTAATGTAGATCGCGTATATCTATAAAAATCTTGAAAAGTTGACAGTAAGAAAACGCATTACAAGATGTAGTATTTCCAAAATTTGAAATCCATTTTTTTCACATGTCCACACATCTTGATGTTGAGATGATAAATTTGAGGATATTTTGGCATCAAAATAACCTCTTGTAGTGAAATTTTTGAGGTGGGCTCTAATTTGATTGTTTAGAGCCTCAGCTCTATATAAACTTTTTCCTTAACATTAATGGAGTTCGTTGTTTTTAGCTTATGAATAAGCTTCAAAATTAACAAGACCGGATTGGAGCTCAATCTAGTAAGGGGCTAGTCCTTTTAAAAACCAATCTACCCAGCGGTTCAACCGATTGGACGAGGTTTTGATCTTTGCTCATGGTCGGTGAATAGAATCCATTTTTAGAATTGTCTAAAATTATTTTTACCTTTTTTTTTTAGTAGGAATCGAACTTGAGATAGTGCTGTGCTGCTGGTGGTCATCTGCTAACCACTCAAGCCCATTCACATTTTATTTCATTGGTGGATGGTATGGACTATAGGAATGAATAAACCAAAAAAGAAAATACGAATAATAAATATCAACCTAAGTATGGTGAATAATTGGAAAGATAAGCCTATAAAGAGAGAAAAGTTTGGCAAGCTACATTATGGGCCAAATAACTTAGCAAAACGAAATTGGGAAAGATATCTTCAAGATAGGAAAATTTATTTAAAATAATTGTGGTACAGCAAACCAAAACATCAGAGAAAATTTAGCTAAATTCGCTAGAAAAAAAAAAACGGACCAAAATTTTATATTAATTAATATAATCTAGACCAACCACAGTCGATTGAAGAAAACAAGAAGAACAAAAGAAAATATGAGACTAAAACTAGCAAGAAAATCAATAAAAATACAGCTTTGCACTCTATAAACTTAATCAAAACAATTACACAGATACACAATTAGTAAAAAATAAATGGTTGGCTTGAGGATTACAGAAATTTTGATCAGTGGTTGAAATAAAATTATAGCATAGAGATGAACTATAAAAAAAATGCAATATCATTACTCAATTTCCTATTTTCCCTTTTTCCTTCCCGGAAAATAATGTTTAAAAAAGGAATAGCATTTCTAGCATCATGGAAATATACTGTATGAAATTTCCTCAAAAAATGAAAAGAAAATCAGACAAATTCTTATTGTTTGGATACAGCAGTCTTGTTTCCTAAACAGGCAAGCAAAAACATGTGGTGTTCTCTCATAAACGCTAATACCAAAAAGATTCAGAGTTTTAAACTTTAAAAATTAAAAACATGGTTTATCTATTTATAGTTGTACTAAGAAAGGACCATACAAGCACTGCAAGAAAATAAAATTATAAAAAAAAAAAAAAATTCATTAGCAAAGAAAGAAAAAGAAACCAGTTTCTAAAGCAAACCCATTACCAGAAAGAAGGTATTAACCACATTTTCTCACTCACAGAAAAGAAAAAAACCGACACATGTTACATGATTTTAGAAGCCACACTGACCTTGCATTGTACACTGCAATTGCCACAAGAGCTTCCATTCCTCCCATTCAAAACCTCAAACCAGAACTCAGCCTTTCTCTCTCTTGTTGCACTTAGAGGTCTCCTCTTGAAAACAACAGACAAAGCTCCTGAATCTCCTGTGCAGACCTTGAAACACAGTGCTGAGAAAACCCAAATACTGCAAACCCATGAACCCCACTTCAAACCCATTTCTCAGAGCTTGAGCTCAGGGCTTTTAGTGAGCTAACAAGACCGAATTACAGTAGCTTTAGGCCCTTTGTTCTCTTCATCTACACTGATTGGGGCTTTGCACCATGGATTAAATGGAGGAGAGAGAAGGATTGGGGGCAGGTGAGATGTGGTGTTTTTTGATGATGATGAGAGAGAGAGAGCACATGAGAGACTGAGTGCGAGGACAGGAGGAGTAACATGGGTATTGAATATGAAACCCATTCTCAACCAGAAAAATCCATAAATAATAAAGAAATATTATAAAAATGAAATTAAATAGCTTGTACAGGCATTTAAACGGTACAAAACTGTCAGTATTATCAGAATTCTGCCCCGTTAGAAAGAGAAAATAATAAATGAAAGACAAAATGCAATTACAGAGGGTTAGCAACGAGCTTAGGAGTAAGCAGATATTAGGGACCCATTTTAGCATCCATTATTTTACTAAGGAAAATTGTTTCATACGGGCTGGACCGCATGACTACTACATATGCGGTCCCAAAAGAGTAAAGCCTTCATCTTAAAAACCAGGTCCTTTTACTCATAGCTACCAAATCAAGGCAAAAGAGATTCTCTCAACAGGGAGTAGACTGGGCATTACTCTTTCGGGTAAAACATCATTTAGAATTAATTTTAATAACCTAAATTTTGCAGATTTACGCTCTTGAACCTATAAATTAACCCAATATTGTTAGATTCGGTTCAAAGTCTTCTTTAATTTGGTGAGAAAATGAAGCAATTCGGTGCTTCTTTTATTTGGGAGAAGACTTCAGACATTTTTTTTTTAATTTAATATAAATAAATTAGATTTTTGTATATAAAAATAATGATAAAATTGCCAAAAATAAATAAACAAATTGCTTTTATATTTCTTTGCGTAGGTTGAAGCTTTGGCTGAATCGGCGCGAAGCATACCCAAATCTAACCGAAGCGGCTTGTAGCATACCGAATCTCCCTAAAACAAATGCACTAGACTTAGGTTCGCTTCGGTCAAGGCCTAAAGTCCAAATGCTTTGGCTTCTTCGGCTGAAGTAAAGCGAATTTGACAACACTTGATTAACCTCAATAAAAAATTTCATGATTCTACCCTATACATTTGAAAAGATAATGTCTGAGATGGAATGATGACCATCCAATTTTTAGATGGCAAGATTTGAGTGTTAGAAAATTCAAATTTCAATTTTTTTTTTGGACAATAATCATCTAATAATGCTTAAGTAGTTCCCAAAATTTCATATTGAAAAAAATCCTCCTAAGCAGGTCTTTTGACCGAAGGATGGACTAGAAGTAAACTCTGTTCCCAATGCAGCACAATAAAAGCGCTCATATATCAATTTAGGGGCACTTATAATGTTGGGTGTCATTTCTAAAATGTCTTCAGAACAAGGTTCATATCGATCGTTTGTCAGTAAAAAGTAATGGTGATGGCCCCATGGTGTACCATACATACACTATGCAGAGCCGATATGTGGTTACTCCCTCATCACCTTAACTACTTATTAATGAAACACCATGTTCTTGCAGAGGTCATCTACCCAAAAAAATGAAGTTCATCTAGAAATGAGGGCAGTTTGTATAGAGCCTAGGCTCTAAACAATCAAATTAGAGCCTACCTTCAAATAGTGTCTAGACATGTGGTTTTAGTATTGGAAATATTTTTTATAGTCTTAAAATATTTTTCATATTTATTGATAAAGTTTAAAGCTTCGAAAATACTATAGATCGACAGATTTATGAAAATTTGAAAAATCTTGAAAATTGATGGTCCAAAAATATGTTACAAAATACACTATTTGCAAAACTTGAAATCCATTTTTTTCTCATGTCCATATATATCGATGTCGAGCTAAACGATTTGAAGATATTTGGGCATCAAAAAACAACCTCTTCTAGTGAAATTTTTGATGTAAGCTCAAATTTAATTGTTTAGAGCTTCAGCTCTATATAAACTTTTCTTTAAAAATTACCGCTTTTGTAAATAGAGCTGGACAAAAGATTTTGTGCTCCTGTGGGAGCATATTGCCATTTGGCTCTGTCACGTAGCACCTAAGATTATTTTAGAATTCTAAATTTTAAAAATATAATGTCATAATAATTGAGATAAAACTTGGATGATGATGAAGCTCTTCAACCTAGTGAGTAGCCTCAATTTTCAAAATGCCCTCTTTATGTGCCTAAAAAAATTTAGTCCCAAGAATGAATAGGGAATATCTAATTTTGGGAGGCTGTTGAAGAATTTGAAAATAATCGTAAGGTAATTTTGGATCCCAAATTTAATATGCAAACAATCCTCTTTAGTGGCTCTTTCACTGGAGGAGTAAGTCTACAACATGCTTAGAGCTGGAAAAGGTCAAGCCTAGGCCGGTCTTGCCACGGAGCAGGTCGAAGAGACCTTGGACCTATTAGGGCTAGGCCAACTGGGCCAAATACAATAAAAAGGAAAAGAAAAAAAAAAAAAGAGAAGGAAAAAAGTGTTGGGTCTGGCGGAATCAGGCCGGCCTTGTCCCAAGCTCAGCGCATCCCTTATGCCACATTTTGTGGCATACGCCTTTTTTAGTGCCAGGCCTACCAGTGGGGCTGGTCTACCCAGTCAACATCCAGCCCTACTATATGCTCATTTAGAAGCATAGTTCAAAAGAATTGGTAATATAAGTGTCCTCTCGAGTAGGAGTATGCCATGTTCGTCATGTCGGGATTGTATACTACGAGACCACTTATTTTTAGTATAAGGATGTCATAATTATTTTTAGCCATTGAATATGAAATTCAATGGATGAAAGTGCCTCACAACATTTAAAAATTTTTATTTTTGACTTTGTGCCCAGACAATAACACATTTTTAACTATCCAATTTCAAATTGTGACCTCCTTTTATAAAAAATATATGGTCTCACTATATACACTTAATATTATTATGGTATAATAAAAAATAAATGGTCTCACCCAGTGTTTTAAAAAACGCCGAGTCGAACCGGAATCGCCCGGTTCGACTCGAAAATCGTGAAAAGGGGACCGGATCACCTAAAAAATCGGAAATCGTCCGGTTCTAGAGAGAACCAGACGATTCTATACAGTGAATCGCCGATTCGCTGTACGGAATCGGCGAGTCCGAACAGTGAATTGGCGAGTCCGTACGGATTTTTTTTTTTTTTTTGTAACCCATGATAGATTTTTTTGTAATACTTGATCGATTTTTTTGTAATCCATGATCGAATTGTTTTTGTTTTTTTGTAATCCATGATCGAATTTTTTGGTTTTTTGTAACCCATAATAGAATTTTTTGTAATCCATGATCGAAATGTTTGTTTTCTTTTCTTGTAATCCATGATCGATTTTTTTTTTTTTGTAACCCATGATAGAATTCTTTGTAATCCATGATCGAATGTTTTGTAATACATGATCGAAATGTTTGTTTTTTTTTTGTAATCCATGATCGAAATGTTTGTTTTTTTTTTTGTAATCCATGATTTAATTTTTTGTTTTTTGTTTTTTTTATAACCCATGATAGAGTTTTTTGTAATCCATGATTGAATTTTTTGTAATCCATGATCGAACTGTTTTTTTCTTTTTTTGTAATCCACGATTGAATTTTTTGTTTTTTTTGGTTTGTTTTTTTTTGTAATCCATGATCGAATTTTATGTAATCCATGATCGAATTTTATGTAATCCATGATCGAATTTTATGTAATCCATGATTGAATTTTTTGAAAATTTGTGATTTTTTTTTTTAGTCCATGATCGAATTTTTTTTTGTAATCCATGATAGAATTTTTCGAAAATTTGTGATTTTTTTTTTAATCCATGATCGATTTTTTTGAAAATTTGTTATTTTTTTTTTTAATCCATATTATTCAAAGAGAAAATGAGAGATACGATGATTCTGAGGCCACCCTATCCCAGCCATATTATTCACATATCGAGTCCCAACAGCAACAGTGTAGGGATGAGCACGAAATACTGTAAATTAAATGCTGAATGGCGGTTCATGCAGGAAAAGTACATATCAATATTCGCATATTCATTCAAAAACATAAAAATTCTTAATGGAATACCCTCATTTTTTATTGAATTCCTAAAAAACAATATTTATAATGAATTTTAATAATTTTTTCGAATTTTTTTTAAGTTTTATTCTGACCGATTCACCTGATTCCTTATCCGAATCGCCGATTCGCCGATCCGAATCGATTTTTTGGAAGCCCGATTCAAGTCACCGATCCGTTTTTTAAACCACTGGTCTCACCCTATACATTTCCATGTCTTAATATTATTACCGTATAAGTGTAGGACAAAAGCGTTTGTGTTCACTTATAATGTACGAAGAGCGTCAGGGGCCAATCATGTTCTTTCAAGGATAAGAGGTTAGCCGAAATTGGGTGGTGGTGAAAAGCTGCTTGCCTTTGTGCGTCATGTCCTCTACTTGTGAGTGAAAAGGAGATTAGAGAGGTCCTGGACAACATGTATTCATGGATTTTTTTTTTTTTTTTCAATATTGCGAATTTTATTGATTCAGCGAGCAAATACAAAATTACATTGACATAAAAGAAGTCAAATCATATGCAATAGACAATTCTTGCCAATTTACCTCTGCTTTGTAAGCCCATCTGCAACATCATTTGTTTCATGGATAGATATCAGTGTTTCAAAAAGAATCTTCAGCCAGCTTGAGATTCTTCAAGTTATCTCGATGGGTACCTGTTAGGGTATGAGATCCCCAGATTTATTCTCAATTTCATTAGTTTTATTTTATTCTTTTATTTTCAATAAAAAGAACTCAAAAAAATCTGAGCGAAGCGGCTCAAGGGTTTTGAGTCCCTAAAGACATGGGTAAGTGGCTCAGGTGGCTCCAAGCAGGTTCAGTCGGGGACCCATTGGAATGTCTAATGAGCGCATATACTATGCTCCTTAGAGAGGATACGTGGCATCTACTCCTGTGTTCAAAACACCTACCTAGTAGAATTTTTTTAGTCTGAAATTCTGGAAAACACATAATAATTACTAGATGATTATTTTTCAAAGAATATTTTTTGAATTTAAGTTTTGTGACACTAAGATCTAGCCCTTTAAAATTGGACAGTCTCTGTTCAATCTTGATGCATAAGTTTATTCTAGTACATAAAGAGTTTATTTCGGAATTTTGTTCATCTTTTGCCCAAGATTATTCTATGTATAAAGATTATATCCCAAAATTTTAAGATCCAAAGGTTGTGCATA